GGTTGCCTCTTAGGCTTTGCAGTGAGCCAGGTACGTTACCCTCTGTCAGTTTAATCACCACAAGTCTGCCGAGTGAGTGATTTCTGTCGCATGTTACAGATGCAAAGAGAGAAACTTGGAAAGAGGTTAAGTAACTCTTCTAAGGTTAGTTAAGTCAGGTAGTCAGAACTCACACTTGGGTCTTTGACTCCAAAGCCCACGTCCTTTCTAACAGTTCTCAGGCCTACCAGGTTTGTAGTTATTAGATGGGTTGCAGCCAAATAAGAGAGCTGTGTTTTGCAGCTGCTTTGTTTGTTGAACAGAAGGTTTGCATACCTTGGTCCATCTGCTGAAACAATTTCTTTTTGAATCTGTTTATTATTATTGATCTGGCTTTTGAAACTATCAGTTATCCCATTTGTATTTGTATTCTATTGTATTTGTTATATACAAAGAACTTTGAAATATCATTCTATTTATATACTAAAGGTGTATAATTTCTTGGAGTCAAGTAATAAAGTCTTACGTTGGCATTTGCTAACAGAAATATCATTGTTACTGAGAGGAGTAACAAGTTCTCTTGATTGGAACTTTTGAGTGCCTTTTATGTCTGAAGAAGAATTACTCTTCTGTTGGGATTTTGTGTGTAAAATATAAATCACTTCACAGTGTTTAACAGCTTGAAATATTTTCCAGAAAAGGGGTCCGACGCTGTGACTTTCCAGTTAGTACAGAGCTCTGACAAGCTATGTTCAGAATGGGGTGGAAAAATTTTACTGAGGGCAACATTTTTTCTCTATTACAAAAGGGCAGAGTGTTTCTGTGAAAAATGCTGTGTCTGTGAGGAAACTTGCATCATGGTACCCTTTACTAGAGGCAGTGAGCCAGGTTTAGAAGAAATGAGAGCTTAGGGAAACCGGCCTTAGCCATGTCTCCAAGCCAGCTTCTCCCAACAGGAGTATCTTTGGGGGCAGTGAACCAGTTCCATGTAGTAACTAGAGTTCCAGAGTCATTCTCATGGGTGTATAGAACCAAGTTCAACCCGGAAAACCCTGTGAAAGTGTCCCTAGCTCAAATTCCTTTTGTCCGCCCCTCTCTGCCTACCCATCTACTGATAGGGTCTAGGTAGAGTCCCTCACTACACCATGGTTTGAGGACAGGCCTGAGAGTTCTTTTTGGATTTTTACCTCAAATTCAGAATTTGGGGTGTAATGGGTTCTTTTGGGTCATCAGGAAAGTTATGATGCATCTTTGTGTAAAAAACCCAGAAATATGCCATGACATCCTGATGACCTCATGTAAAACAAATGTTTCTGTAGCCACCCAGCTTGCTCTAGGGTGCTTTGGGGATATACCCATGGTCAGTGTCATGTTTGTTCCCCTTCTCACGCTAAATGATCTGGCCTCTCAGGTCAGTTTCAGCTAGGGAAGTCATCTAGTACTACTAAGTAGTTTTATGAAGAAGTGGTCTTAGACATCAAAGAAAGAGTGCCTCATTGATCTTCTTGAAGCAGACTATAGGGAAGGAAACCAATATTTACCAAATACCTGCTGTGTGCCTAGTGCTTGATCCCTTGTGGTAGTAAATTTTCCTCATTTTATAAGTGAAGAAACAGGCCAAGAAAAGGTAAGTGACTTACCCAAGGTAACACAGCTTGTAAGTGGTAGGATTAGTCTGGGTGTCCAACTTCTGGCTCTCTCATGGCACCAGAGCTTGAGAACCTCAGCACTGTTGATAATTCCTAGTTGTGATGCTATCCTGTGGACTGTGGTGATTGCAGCATCTCTGACCTATACCCCTGGATGCCAATAGCCTCCTCCATTGTGATTGTCAAAAATGTCTTCAGATGTTGCCAGATGTGTCCTTGGAGCATAGTCACTCAGTTGAGAACCACTGCTTTCTTTCTTTTTTTTGGGGAGAGGTTTTTGCTATAGGGCGCGTGCGCTCACCAGACAGACAGAGACAGAGAGAGACAGAGAGATAGAAAGCGAGAAATCACCCCCCAGGGGGGATGGCCACGCCGCAATCCCTTCTCCTCCATTCTCCTCTCGGGATCTTGGGCACGCACGCACACGCGCCTGGTGTGAGTTTAAGCCACCGGGTCCTGGACTCGAACCGCAGTTGACCACGTGGGAGTTCAGCGACATAGCCATTACGCTAACTGCTTTCTTATAGTTTAATAATACGATTTTTTTTGTGGGGGAGAGGTTTTTGCTATAGGGTGCATGTACTCACCAGAAAGACGGAGAGAGACAAACAGAAGGCAAGAAATCACCCCTGGGGGGATGGCCACACTGCAATCCCTTCTCCTCCATTCTCCTCTTGGGATCTTAAGCACGCACACACACGTGCCCAGCGTTAATTTAAGCCACTGGGTCCAGGACTCGAACTGCGGTCGACTACGTGAGAGTCGAGTGACATAGCCATTATACCAACTGCTGGTATAAATAATATGATTTGTTTTAAAAGAATTGTTTTATTTAATTTTACTCATCATTGTTATTATTTATTTATTTTAATTTGTGCAGAGACATAGAGAAGGAAAGTGAGAAAGCAAGCTGCCAGGTCTGGGACTTGAACCATGATCATCCAAGTGGGAATCCAGCATCCCAAACAGTATGCCATCTGTTGACCCCAATATGATTAAATTTTGAGAATTATATACTGACTGCATTATTAAATCAGTATTCAGAGCTTATTAGCATAGAAGCTATCAGTTAGAAATATCTTGTAATATCAGATACCTACTAAAACTGAGTGTGTTTGCAGGATATAGAAATACTATGTTCCTTATTATTATTATTATTATTATTATTTTCTATCTTCTTTTAGATCTACAAAGGATTCCTCCTGTTTTACGGTAGTGCTCAACAATCTCCGTGTGTTTCTCATATTTGACTGGCTATTGCTAGTCCATGATTTTCTCCACACTCCCAGCGATATTAAGAAACAAAATGCTACTCCTTCTCGCCACCGTAACTCTAGCAGTGAATCTGCGGTTGTTCCCAAAACTGTGAAGAGTGGAGTGGTTACCAAGCGGTCTTCCCTTCCTGTGTCCAATGAAAGGCACCTGGAGGTCAAGGTCAATGTAACAGGTGATTATATCTAGATGTGATTCACAGATCTTAGTTTGAATGTTAGACTCAGTTTTATCTTTTTCTTTTTACATGGTTTCTGCCATAGGGTGTGCATGCTTGCCAGAGAGACAGTGAGAGAGAAAGTAAGAAATCACCACCCCCAGGGGATGACCCTGCTGCAATCCCTTCTCCTCCTGGGATTTTGGGCAGGATGCACATGTACCTGGTGTGAGTTTTGAGCCACTTGGTCTGGGACTTAAACTGCACTTGACCACGTGGGAGCCCAGCACCTTAAACACCATGCCACCTGCTGGCCCCTCAATTCTGTCTTACAGAATGAGTTCTGTATTGCTTCTCATTTTTTGACATGGGCACTTACATAGTTGCATCTTCTATAGACCCACAAATGTTGAAGTTTCTTGACCTCTGCTTTCAGGTGTGAGCTGCTTGGGTTCTCTTGCCCCTCTCCTCTGCCACCTGGCCAATGGACCCACCTGGGCTGTGGTCCTTTTTTCCCAATGTGAAATCTGACTTCAGTTCTGTTTGATCTTTAGGGCCCCCATGGATGTGCCCTATTGAGTTTAGGCAAATTCGATATGTGAAATAACAGTTTTAAAAGTGAGGAGATTATTGGGACCAGTAATGGTATAATGGTTACGTTGCTGGACTCCCATGTAGTTGACCACAGTTCGAGTCCCAGGCCTAGTGGCTTAAAACTCAAGTTAGGCACATGTGCATGCGTACCCAAAATCCCGAGAGGACAACGGAAGAGAAGGGACTGTGGCATGGTCATTCTCCTGGGGGGTGATTTCTCACTTTCTCTCTCTGTGGTGAGTGCACATGCTCTATAGCAGAGATCTCTCTTTAAAAAAGTGAAGAGATTGTTATTTTTTTTACAAAGAGAATATTTTCCTTAGGGGTGGGCTTACTATGGATTTTGTTAACTAGTGAACTCTTACAGTGCATATATATATATACCCGTATGATGATATTTCTGATATCCCTACCTACTTCTCAATGGTTTTGATGAAGCTGGCTAGCACAAATGCATTTTAAGTGGATCCAGTTACAAAAATTTAATCTATACTTGATTTTTTTATGAAGACACATTATAAAGCAAGAGTGAGTTTGCTATATACAAATGAATAGAAACCCATCTATATCTATCATTTAAAAAAATCTCAACATTAGGCCCAGCTGCATGCACTGAGTGCTGCTGCTTATTATGCTGAGGCCACATAGGAGGCATGGTTTGATTCCTGGCCCGCCCTAAAAAAAGCTAGCCATGGTAACACATGCCTGTAGTGCCAGCTACTTGGGAGACTGAGGCAGGAGGGTCGCACCATTGCAGGACCCAGTCTAAAAAAAGGAAAAGGAAGCAAGAAAACAAAACCACTGAGAACAAAAAACACCTTCAGACACATGTCCTCACATGTGCGCACGCACGCGCGCGCACACACACACACACACACACACACACACTAAATTAAAAAGAAAATCTCAAAGTTATATCAGTCTATGTTCTTTTTAAACAACTTGAATGGATGGCTACATTGGTGCCTTATGTTGTTGACCGACATTGTCAGAATCTACTTCTGGGATTTTAAATCTGGTCAATTCTTGGAGTAGTGATCCAGGGGGGATGGCCACGCCGCAATCCCTTCTCCTCCATTCTCCTCTCGGGATCTTGGGCACGCACGCACACGCGCCTGGTGTGAGTTTAAGCCACCGGGTCCTGGACTCGAACCGCAGTTGACCACGTGGGAGTTCAGCGACATAGCCATTACGCTAACTGCTTTCTTATAGTTTAATAATACGATTTTTTTTGTGGGGGAGAGGTTTTTGCTATAGGGTGCATGTACTCACCAGAAAGACGGAGAGAGACAAACAGAAGGCAAGAAATCACCCCTGGGGGGATGGCCACACTGCAATCCCTTCTCCTCCATTCTCCTCTTGGGATCTTAAGCACGCACACACACGTGCCCAGCGTTAATTTAAGCCACTGGGTCCAGGACTCGAACTGCGGTCGACTACGTGAGAGTCGAGTGACATAGCCATTATACCAACTGCTGGTATAAATAATATGATTTGTTTTAAAAGAATTGTTTTATTTAATTTTACTCATCATTGTTATTATTTATTTATTTTAATTTGTGCAGAGACATAGAGAAGGAAAGTGAGAAAGCAAGCTGCCAGGTCTGGGACTTGAACCATGATCATCCAAGTGGGAATCCAGCATCCCAAACAGTATGCCATCTGTTGACCCCAATATGATTAAATTTTGAGAATTATATACTGACTGCATTATTAAATCAGTATTCAGAGCTTATTAGCATAGAAGCTATCAGTTAGAAATATCTTGTAATATCAGATACCTACTAAAACTGAGTGTGTTTGCAGGATATAGAAATACTATGTTCCTTATTATTATTATTATTATTATTATTTTCTATCTTCTTTTAGATCTACAAAGGATTCCTCCTGTTTTACGGTAGTGCTCAACAATCTCCGTGTGTTTCTCATATTTGACTGGCTATTGCTAGTCCATGATTTTCTCCACACTCCCAGCGATATTAAGAAACAAAATGCTACTCCTTCTCGCCACCGTAACTCTAGCAGTGAATCTGCGGTTGTTCCCAAAACTGTGAAGAGTGGAGTGGTTACCAAGCGGTCTTCCCTTCCTGTGTCCAATGAAAGGCACCTGGAGGTCAAGGTCAATGTAACAGGTGATTATATCTAGATGTGATTCACAGATCTTAGTTTGAATGTTAGACTCAGTTTTATCTTTTTCTTTTTACATGGTTTCTGCCATAGGGTGTGCATGCTTGCCAGAGAGACAGTGAGAGAGAAAGTAAGAAATCACCACCCCCAGGGGATGACCCTGCTGCAATCCCTTCTCCTCCTGGGATTTTGGGCAGGATGCACATGTACCTGGTGTGAGTTTTGAGCCACTTGGTCTGGGACTTAAACTGCACTTGACCACGTGGGAGCCCAGCACCTTAAACACCATGCCACCTGCTGGCCCCTCAATTCTGTCTTACAGAATGAGTTCTGTATTGCTTCTCATTTTTTGACATGGGCACTTACATAGTTGCATCTTCTATAGACCCACAAATGTTGAAGTTTCTTGACCTCTGCTTTCAGGTGTGAGCTGCTTGGGTTCTCTTGCCCCTCTCCTCTGCCACCTGGCCAATGGACCCACCTGGGCTGTGGTCCTTTTTTCCCAATGTGAAATCTGACTTCAGTTCTGTTTGATCTTTAGGGCCCCCATGGATGTGCCCTATTGAGTTTAGGCAAATTCGATATGTGAAATAACAGTTTTAAAAGTGAGGAGATTATTGGGACCAGTAATGGTATAATGGTTACGTTGCTGGACTCCCATGTAGTTGACCACAGTTCGAGTCCCAGGCCTAGTGGCTTAAAACTCAAGTTAGGCACATGTGCATGCGTACCCAAAATCCCGAGAGGACAACGGAAGAGAAGGGACTGTGGCATGGTCATTCTCCTGGGGGGTGATTTCTCACTTTCTCTCTCTGTGGTGAGTGCACATGCTCTATAGCAGAGATCTCTCTTTAAAAAAGTGAAGAGATTGTTATTTTTTTTACAAAGAGAATATTTTCCTTAGGGGTGGGCTTACTATGGATTTTGTTAACTAGTGAACTCTTACAGTGCATATATATATATACCCGTATGATGATATTTCTGATATCCCTACCTACTTCTCAATGGTTTTGATGAAGCTGGCTAGCACAAATGCATTTTAAGTGGATCCAGTTACAAAAATTTAATCTATACTTGATTTTTTTATGAAGACACATTATAAAGCAAGAGTGAGTTTGCTATATACAAATGAATAGAAACCCATCTATATCTATCATTTAAAAAAATCTCAACATTAGGCCCAGCTGCATGCACTGAGTGCTGCTGCTTATTATGCTGAGGCCACATAGGAGGCATGGTTTGATTCCTGGCCCGCCCTAAAAAAAGCTAGCCATGGTAACACATGCCTGTAGTGCCAGCTACTTGGGAGACTGAGGCAGGAGGGTCGCACCATTGCAGGACCCAGTCTAAAAAAAGGAAAAGGAAGCAAGAAAACAAAACCACTGAGAACAAAAAACACCTTCAGACACATGTCCTCACATGTGCGCACGCACGCGCGCGCACACACACACACACACACACACACACACTAAATTAAAAAGAAAATCTCAAAGTTATATCAGTCTATGTTCTTTTTAAACAACTTGAATGGATGGCTACATTGGTGCCTTATGTTGTTGACCGACATTGTCAGAATCTACTTCTGGGATTTTAAATCTGGTCAATTCTTGGAGTAGTGATGATTTTCTGACTTTCTCAGTATCTCTTACCCCTCCCAGGAAGACCAGGGTGTAGTTTTTCTCTTCAGCTTACAGAAACATGCTAAAGAGAGAAAACACCTCCCAGTCGTTTTGCTGGTGCAGTGCTTTGTTGGCTCAGCTATACTTGGCCAGTTAGGGGGAATTTACTCAGGGTAATAGTGAAGCAGAATGTTGACAGACATCCTGACGAACTAATTGCTCTTACTGGTTAATGTTCTCACCTGGTGGCCACATGCTTCTTCGTGTGCCATGGCCTGGTATTTCCCATCCTGGTTTTGGCTTTATCAACAATACTGTCCTTTCCAGGCACGGAGTTTGTGGTTGTTGAAGATGTGTCCTGCTTCGATACCAATGCTATTATTCTGAAAGGCACCACAGTGCTCACCTACAAGCCCCGATTTGTCGATCGGCCCTTCTCAGGAAGTTTGTTTGGCATTGAGGTAAGGAGTATATGTGTCGGTCACAACATTGCATGTTTGACTCAAGAGGAAAGCATCTGGAAGAGAATTTTACTTTTTAAATGTCCATCTGGGGAAATAATCCATGGAATTGGATGACTCTTGCCCTCCTCTCCTTTTAGTTTTTTCCCCAAATCATCCAATATGTGAGGTCAGTCCTCCAATGTTAATCTGTAAAGAGGTAGAGAGTCCTTACCTCTCTTTCTTAAACCCCTTTCCCGGAGACTTGTCTAGGCCCATTAGCCTGTTGTGCACCGTGTTATGTCCACTAGTTCTGCAGGTCTAGTTCTTAGCCAGTTTATGGAGGTTGAGATGGTGGTCTTCCTTTCCTCTGCTACTGCTCCCCCACCTTGAGCGTCGTCCTGTGATCTTGGGCTTTGGGATAATAGAAACCTGTTTCCCCAAGGTGTTAAGGATTTATGTATCATTCTTCCAGGAATATTTGATCTACGAAAGGGCGTCTCTGGAAAGTCATGCATACCCTAAAGGAGCACATCTCTAGTAGGGGTGCTTTAGGTGCTGATGTAATCTCAAGAAGATAATTTGCAATGGCATGGCCTCCTGTCTAAATAGCTAATTCTACAGTATTAAATAAAAACTGCTCTCTTTTTAAACCATAGATAGTGAAGACTTAAGGGGAAACATATCACATTATTATCTTTATCAGATGTTATTCATTTACTGAGCTCACAGTGTTCCTCTTGTTAAAATGTTCTAGAGTATTTGGGAACCAGCAGTTAGTGTAATGGCTATGTCGCTGGACTCCCACGTAGTCGACTGCGGTTCACGTCCCGGACCCAGTGGCTTAGAACTCACGCCGGGCGTGTGTGCATGCGTGCCCAAGATCCCGAGAGGAGAATGGAGGAGAAGGGATTGCGGCGTGACCATCCCCTCTGGGGGGGTGATTTCTCACTTTCTGTCTCTATGTCTCTCTCTGTCTGTCTGGCGAGCGCACGCGCCCTATAGCGAAAAAAAAAATGTTCTAGAGTATTTGATAAGATTCCTTTCCTTTATAATTGAATAGTTCATGCTGTATTCTTTCCAGTGGTGTTGCTCAGAGGTTGAATGAATACAACTTACTTTCACTGTCAGTGGTATATGGCAGTCCTCCCCCCCACCCCCCACAAAATAGCTGAATAAAATCTGTAGAGATTTCACTTCTTGACCATTTGTTTCTCTCATGTAAAGAAATGTCAGCTTGAGGAGAGGATTTGCATGTTGGTGTGATGTGAGCTGATCATGAAATTGCAATTCATCTTTCCAAGCCACCATAATACCAGCTTTGAATAGAAAATCTTGGTGATTGATTAATGAACTGTCAGGTACAATTGGGTTTTGTGTAGCAAAAGCCCCTGAAGGAAAAAGGAAAATGAAACTTTTCTGTTCCAAAGTCTTAGAAAAACTACATGGCAAAATATTTGAGATTCCTGGAAACTCTTTTCAGTCTTGTTCTTTAGGCAGCACTGTTGGATCTGAATTTTAAGACCTCTTTACTTCATCGTTGAGGGGGAATTTATAAAGTATAATGAGTGATTTTGAATATGACAAAGGGCCTTGGCATCTTATGCTTTTCAGTAGAGCTAAAGACGGGGGAGTGGACAAGAGGGACCAAAGCGAATGCCCTCGTCTTTCCTCTTGAGAATGCAAAATAATTTGGTCCTAAAATAGGAGTCCTTTCTCTCCTCTTCCTTTGATTTCCTTCTCAAACATATTTATTTTTTAAAATGTTTTATGGAATACTTCAAACATGTACTAAGTAAACGGAATAATACAATGAACTTTATGTACCTATTACTCAGTTTTGACAATTAATCTAATGATTTTTAATTATTAAATTATGAGGGAGAGAAAAATCACCTATTCTACCATACATCATTTCCATTGACATTCTTTGCTGTGCTTCGTTCCTTAAAGTCGTAGTGTTGTATTTTTCCGATTGAGTATATTTTTACATTATCTGAATTATAGCTATCATCTTACAGTTCATATGTTCTTACTGTCATTTTTAAATGGCTACAAAATATTCATTGAGTAAATGTGATATAACCTTGGTTGCTCTTGATTTTTTTAAACTATGAAATAGTGTTCAGTGAAATTGTCTATTTCTTTTTCTGAGAGAGAGAGAGGTTTTTGTTATAAGGTGCGTGCGCTCGCCAGAAAGAGAGGCAAAAAGCAAGAAATCACACACACACACACACACACACACACACACACACACACACACCGCCGCCAGGGAGAATGGCCACACCACAATCCCTTTGCCTCCATTCTTCTCTTGGGATCTCGGGCATGCACGCACACGCCCTGGCGTGAGTTTAAGCCACTGAGTCCGGGACTCAAACCGTGGTCAACTACATGGAAGACCAGCAACATAGCCATTACACTATCTGCTGGCCCCTAAATTGTCTATATTTTATTTTAATTTTTTAGTTTTTAAAAGAAAATCAAAAGAACTTTACTTTCCTATGGTAATACAGGTCAAGGGACCCTTTCTTCTCAAAAGGGTTGATAACACCAGTTCTTAGCAGTAAACATAAGGCACTTGTTTAGATTACAATTATCATTGTATTTTTTCCACTTGTTTTTCTAACCCTGTTTTTCCCCCACAATATCATTTGAGATGAATAGAATGCATGAGGCAAATGTGAGATGACCCAGTTGATACTACTCAGAGCAAGAGAGTACAGTACAGTGTTTTAGGGGTGATGTCTGGACATAGAATTAACCCAGGCAAAGGCCCTCTGACCCCAGACAATGTATCCACTATCAAGTAAACCCGTGACACTGTGGAAAAATTCCAGAGGTCTCTAAACTGCAGCACTTTTTTCCCTGCATATCGTGAACAAGGCCTGCTGAGGTTTTAACCGTTAGTCTCTTGATCAGTCATAGAATGGTAGTCAGGAGTTTGGCTTTTTAACTTTAAGTCATAGCAGACTTTCTTTATTTTGCTCTTGGATGAAACATTGATGCTTGCTAATTAGTTGGTCCCACATCACAGTACATTTGGTTCTTGCATTACAGTTTTAACAAGTTTGGCCAAAACAATGCTGAAAAGTTTGCATTGTTATTTTAGTTCTTTAAGTTTTAGTTAATATTGAAATTGTTTCAATTGGTTTCTTCAGTTAAAAACTGTGGAACAAGAACACCAAACTGATTATGTACAGTGAATTTTGGAAACACAGCAAGCGTATTGAACACCTTCTAGGTTTCTTATAATTCTGCTTGGTGTCTTATATGTCCCATTTCTGCAACATTGAGCATCTCTGTAAGTAGCGATTCACATTGCATACTTCCTCTGGTCGGAATCAACCCCGTAACACAATCAGTCTGATGCCAAAGCTCCAACAACTTGTGCTCCATGAACAATCCAGTGCTGAAACAGCACTGATGCTGTCTGAGATATAGTAAAATCTCACAAGACAAATTTAAAGTATTATTTCTGCCACACACCTGCTTTGTTAGCTGGAACAGCCTCCAGATTTTATATAAATGAGTTTAAAAACACAGGTGGATAGGTAGGAATAGGCTATGGTATCTTTTTTTAATCTCTCAATTTTAGTAGCTTTTAATTTTTTTTAAAAAGAAACTGGACCTATATCCTGTAATGTTAGATATTTTTATATATATACTTTGCAGCAGGATAAAAAAACGTAATACACTATTTGAAGGCAAGAACATTTACTCCTCTCATTCTGTGTAAGTTAGAGCAATGCAGCAGGTGTGTGACAAAAATATTATACACTAGATATAGTCCAAAGTCATTCCATTTGCTTATTTAATGATGTTCAGATTTCATTGGCCAGTTCTTTAGTTTCTGTAGAACTGTCTACATTAACATCCTCTTCATATCCAGGAGGCATGAAAACCAAAGCATAATGGAAAAACTCATGACAATTTGCTCTATAAACTTCAGCAGCTTCTTTACAGTCTCCTAGGCTATCATCACACAAGGCTTCTAATACCTCCATACATGTCTGGAGGTTTCTGTTGGTGAGGGATTTATCAAGTGTTGCTGCCCACTCTATAGCTTGCTTCTGACTAGAAGGATTTAAATAATATACCATTTTGGTAGCTGATAATCTGTGTGGCAGTGAATCAGAATTCCTTTTCAGAAAAGTTTCATTAAAATTCTTTGGGTTTGTTGCTCCAAAAAGACAATTCATTTCTTGTTTTAATACTATTCTAACTGTATCAGATAAATCTTTACTTTCACACACTGCAGTACTAAACCATCTAATCATACACTCATGAAGCCAGGGATGACTAGAATCAATAGCAAATGTCCTTTTTACTGATTGTAGCATCAAAAGAAATTTCTCTTTCTAAGTAAATCTCACAGGCAAAAAGATGAGTTTCTATCTTGTTCTTCACAAAGTTCTTCAGTGGTTTTAAAAATTTAATAACTTCTTCCAGTGGAGTTTCAACCTTGACCAGTTTCTTGGGGATAAGTTGCTCTTTAAGGTCTCCAATTTCCTCCTCCTCATCATCCTTTTTTTGATTTCTCTGCTACTTTTCTTTTTCTGCACTTTTTTCCCCTCCTCTTCTATCTGAGCTATCTTTTGAGCTTTTCTTTGTTTGTTGCAGAGTTTCTTCAGTTCTTTGTCAGACATGTTTGCTGTATCAACTTCATGTTCTTTATTCTCATCCCTAAGGGGGTTGTCATGAAGCTTCAAATAGATCTCTATAACAGTTCTTGCTGCCTTGAAGTAAAATGGATGGTGTTGAAGTACATCTTCTAGTTTAAATAAGTCAAAGTATGTATGAAAGTCAAACTGGTCGTCAGTGATTTCTATAAAATGTCTATCTTGTGACTTTTTTTTTTTTTTTTTTTTTTGGAGAGAAGGCAAGAAATCATCCCTTGGGGGGATGGCCAAGCCACAATCCCTTCTCCTCCATTCTCCTCTCAGGATCTCGGGCACACACGCACATGCGCCCGGCATGAGTTTGAGCCACCAGGTCAGTGACTCAAACTGCGGTCAACTACATGGGAGTCCAGCGACATAGCCATTAGGTCAACAATCTCATGGCATTTCTTAAAGGCTTCCTCAAATTTATTCATTGCTTTATAAGCCTGGGCACATTCTGTCTGGAACCACATGCATTGCATTTCATTTACATTCTCTACCACTGATGTTCTTTTCCCTGTAAACTTTGAGCACATTTCTTGAGCCTCTTCAATCAGATTGGCTTCTAGCATGTGTTTTGCACACTTGGAGTTTATAAATTTGTCTGCTATGTCGAAGGCCTGGGCCTCATCCATCCATCTCGCAGCTTCTTTAATATTCCCAGCATGCTTATAGATTTTAGCTTTCACAAGAAAGAATTCTATCAATGTAGGTATTCTTTGAATACTTTAGAGCAATAGATGGCTGACCAATTTTGTCATAATATTGTGCCAAGTAGTACTGAGCACAAATTAATATGGTTTGTGGTTGTTCCTTTCCATTATCATTGGGGTTAAATAACTGGCAGCTTCTTAGAGAGTTTTCGTAACCTACTACTAATACTTCTATGATTGTCACCTTTTTTTTTAATCTTTATAAAGTGACCTCAAAGTATTAAGACTGGTGGATAGCCCTTGCTGAAATTCATCCTTAGGAACTTGTCCAAGCATTCTTTAAACTTCTCACCTGATAAAAAGTTTAATGGCAGCCTCCTTGGCACCAGTCCCCTGGGGTATTTAGTCCAGGCCTCCTGTGAATTTTCAGATGTTCTAACATATTAGCTGGTTTGAGAGCTTTTCCCAAGCTTTTGTAATAGGCCCAGTTTTCAGGATTTCTATATAAACATCAGCAGCATTTTCTAAACAGTATAATTGCAACAGAAGTTCCCCAAGATCCGTTTGAAGAGCATGTTCTGGGTGGGAGGCTCATGGCCCGATGGCATCATTCCGGCTCCTCCTGTCTCTCCTGCCACCACCTGGCTTAGTCAGTCTGTCTGACCACCGCCTCTGCTGTTCCCTGGCTGCTTCATCCTTGAACATCCTGATGCACTGCTGCCACCAGGCCACACATGTCTCTGTGTCGCCTAACCCCGAACACCTTTTCTTTTGTTGCCTTTATTACTTTCACACTTAACGCTACTGCCACCTCCCCCTAATGGTTGTCCGTCTCTGTTGGCAGTTCCTATATTTTACATTATGTACCAAGGCTAGTTTCTTGAGAGAAGAAGGGATTATTGATCAAGGGTATGAGAGTTTTCTGCCTTTCAAGATGTATTGTTGAACTGCCCTTTCCTATGGGTGAGCCACAGTTGGTGTTCTTGGCGGTGGGTAAGAGTACCAACCATACTCTTGGAATATTTAACTCAGCAGTTATTTTGGGTCTTATTATAACGCAAGACTGATCTCTTCTGAGAGAAATATTTTTTGTGTGCCAATGTTGAGGCCCTCCCTAAATCAGACATTAATTCTTGTCATACTGCATTTTATTTTCTAGGTGTTTTCATGCCGACTAGGGAACGAGCACGACACAGCTCTTTCCATTATCGATCCAGTACAAATCCAAGTGGAGTTGGTGGGGAATTCTTCTTATCAGAATAGTTCAGGACTGATGGATGCATTTAATAGTGAAGATTTCCCACCTATCTTAGAGGTAATGATACAAAATCTGTGTAATGCATTGATATGTTCTGAAACAGTCTCCCAGGCAGGCACTCTTACCTGCTGAGAGCCCAACAACATTATAGTTGCTTCAGCAGATGCAACAGACACAGGACATTGTTTCTGTCCTAGTTCTGGTCTTGCAGTTTCAGGGAGAATGAAGGGCTTTTTAATTGTCTGGCATAATCTCAAAGTTCTATGAAAGTTTCCAGAAGTAGAACTCAACATAGGTAGGAATTTTGATTATCCCTGGAAATCAAGCTGAGTGATGAGTCTGGGAGGAAGGGCAGGATGAGAACAGGTAGAGGGAGGGTTTTCCATGGGAACAAGCGAAGTCGAGGCAGAGACAGTTCTGATTAGAACCAAGAGGCATGTGGGGAAGTAGGGAAGGCAGGAGGCAAAGCAAGAGAAGGTGAAACCAGACAGGGGAAGCTTAAAATTTTGGTGATTTTTTTTTTTCTTTTGGTAGAAGGGAAATGATGAATCAGTTCTTTTGAACCAATAGAGATTAAAAGAAAGAAAAGCCATTCTGAGTTTTTGATCTTAGTGGTACCTCCCAGAACAAAACAAGTAATAGATAGAGCATCATACCCAGATATGCAGTCATCCCGTGTTGCCATGGTTATAGTGGTCTAGTGTGGGTGTCTGTGTAGCCTTCACCAGTGGGGGCTATATTGCTGATATCTGAGGGAAGCTGGACCTCAGGAAATACTGTCACACTTGACTGAATTAAGGTTAAGGTTTCAATAAAGAGTTGCATTTTGATGATTGATCAATTTGCTTCAGAGGTTTAAAAACTTAAATTAGATTAATGCAAAATGGATTAACAAAATGTTGCCTGTTCTCCTGAGAGCCATTCTCCGATCCTCTGCTTTAATCATTAATGTACTTGTATGAAAATTATCCTGCTAAAATATTAATTGCAATGATAATTGTCTTTATTTGGTGCAATTTTGTGACCATTTAACCTCATAGCTGAGATATCTCACCTCATGGTCATCAGTGCTCCATCTTGACGTCTTTGCAACCTAAATGAGAAGTTTAGTGTTGTATCTGTTGAACTTTTAGAACTCAAAATAGGAGTTATAGCTGTGACAGGTGTGGATGCAAAACTAAATACAACTTTAAAAAATTGCTACTATTTTGATTTTGTTAGATTCAATTACAAGCCCTGGATATCAGACTCTCTTATAATGATGTTCAGCTGTTTCTTGCCATTGCCAAATCCATCCCAGAGCAAGCGAACGCTGCAGTGCCGGACCCCGCAGCTGTGGAGTCAGCCTCCGTTAACAGTTGCCTTCTAGGTACACCTCGCCTTGGAGAGGAAATCAGAGAAGAAGCAAGGCACACCTTAGATCCTGTCTTGGGTAGGTGTTTAACTGGACAATGCACTCAGTCTTCCTTGCTTTTCCTTTTTTAACCTATATCAAATGTTCTTTTGCAAAATTAAACTGCTCACTATCTAATTATGTCATTAAATATAAGTCATGATTATGACTCTCTTAATTTTTAAATTTAAAAACAAACAAATTAGGGCCAACAGGTTGTGTGGGGATTAAGGTGCTGGAATCCCACATGGCTGGCTGCAGCTTGATTCCCGGATCCTGTGGCTTGAAAATCATGCCTGGCACATGTGCGTGCATGCCCAAGATCCCTAGAGGAGAATGGAGAAGGGATTGAGGCATGGCTATCTTCCCCGAGGATGACTTCTCACTTTCCCTCTGTCTCTCTCTCCAGTGAATGTACACACCCTATAGCAAAAAAAGTAAAAAACAAAAACAAACAAAAAAACCTAACTTCTGTAGCATATACTGTTTCTTCTCTTGTAAGGTTTCTTTCAGAATTATATGGATAATGCTGTTATTTAATATTAAACTTTGAGAGTATTCCTCCAGAGTTAGGTAGATATTTTTAAGTTTCAGTTTTAAGCTTTTAAATACACAATCAATGTAAAAAAAAGATTCAAAATCTTTAGGGTACATTTTGATAGCAGTCTCTAATCAGGAGTCCATTTTGCCTAGTCACCTGTTTCTGAATTTCTTTTCTTTCTTTTAAATTAGCTTATTGGATTAACTTACATAAAATTATTTATAAGAATTATTTACCATTTTCCCCCTAGAGTTACAGCTGGCTAGACTGCAGGAGCTGGGATTCAGCATGGATGATTGTCGCAAAGCTCTTTTGGTGTGTCAAGGTACTTTGAATGAGTGCTTCCTCATCCGTTGTTCATTTCCATTACATGCTTTCTTGCCATGTTCTTCCCTATCCCCATAGGTAACTTATAGAGCAGGAGTGTATTTAGAAGACTGTTTTTGTGTCTTCTGTGGATTGAATATAATCTTGGACTATATAATAATGAGTGGCACTATTCAATAATGAATTAGAATGTAGGCTAATGAGCAGCACTTTGTTAATTTTTGTATCTATAGTAACCAAAGCTTTAGTGCCATCAGTAATAAAGATGGTTTGAGCAACTAATGTTTATAGAGCCTTTATTATATTCAGGGCTCTGCTCTGAGAACTCTAAAAGTACTATTTTTATTTTTGCTCATATCAGTCCTCTAATCACTCATATCAGTTCTAAGCACACAGAAATACTGAGTAACTTGGCCAAGATCCAACAGCCAAGTAGGTACAGAACCAGGATCTGAAGTCAGGCTGTCTCGCTTCAGAACACATGCCCTCACATGTACACTGTTACATGCACTGGCCTCTGGTAATTTGTAAGTATGGGGTTGTGCTGCTTTTCTTATCTTTTCTTTCTTTTTTTTTTTTTTGAGAAATGAGGAAGAGGGAACTTTTGTAATATGGTTATATTTGGTATTTAATAGTTCTCTATTACATACATGTGATTCTCATATTGCTTTTTGTTGTCAAGGAATTTATGATGAGTTGAGAAGACAAACTATATACAAAGTAAGACATTTGACAATAACTATGAAACAGCTCATCAGTATATGTAAAACTCCATGCTTTATATTAAGTGCTTAAATGCCACCTGTCACCTAGAACTTGGATCCTCTCCTGTCCTTTTTTCTTCTCCTTTAATAGATGTCATAGTAGGGGAGGGATGACTTCCTGGAGGCATTTGAGCCAGGTCATGCAAGGTGTGGTAAACTCAAGTGGAAGGTGCATAACAAAGAGTGCCATATTCTATGTATTTGCTCAGAAGTGGAATTTTGGCCCACCTGCAATGACATGCATTGCTAAGATGCTGTGTCACACAGCCTAGGACTGCTTGGGAGGTCCCAGTTTGATTCCCAGTCCAACCTAAGGGCAGGGTACGATGGCCTGCACCTTTTGTCACAGTGACTTAGGGAGGACGGCGAGCACAGGCTGGCCTGGACACAAGCAAGACTCAGTCTGAAAGAGCAAGGCATATGGGTCCAGCCACCTAGGAGAGTGACACAGGAGGGTCACGTAGGACTCTGGGGTGAAAGCCTATGTATGGGTCCCCAAGTTGGCTTCCTCATCTTAAAGATCTTGACTTAAAAAAAGGCAGAAATCCTATTATTATGCTTGTCTGGCCCCTCTCCTCCTTTTTTTTTTTTTGTTTTTTAAGTCTAAGAATATTTCTGAAATCCAGGCTTTCTTGGGTTGCCTGTAGGTCTGTATAAAACTTTGTTTTTCTGTTTTATCTGTGAGTTGCCAGGGTTGCTGTGGAAACTGGTAGAACTAAACACCTTTGAATTTCTTTGAAGGCCAATTGAAAAAGGCAGCAAGTTGGTTGTTTAAGAACGCGGAGCCTCTGAAGTCTCTCTCCCTGGCCTCTAGCAGCCGAGACAGCCTGGGGGCTGTACCAGCTTCGTGGCTGTCTGGGGTGGAGATAAAAGCTGAGAGCGTGTGCATCTGTTTCATCGACGACTGCATGGATTGTGATGTTCCTCTTGCTGAGCTCACCTTTTCCCGTGAGCATTTTCTGACTTTCAGATTCGTGTTGAGTATTTTCAGTGATTGCTGTATTATTTGGGGCCCCCTTTTAAGTTATTCATGTTCCTCTTTACTTAGTAGTATGGATGAAATTTAGATAATGGTTTTTACATGTGTTTTCCATTATGTGTATTTTAAAGAAAATTGTATTTATTTTCCATATGTGGCCTTCAGCTCATGGTTTGGGAACAATAGAATTTGTCATCAACAAAATTCCTATTATATTAACAGTGTAGCTATTCAGTACATAGTCCTGACCTTCCTATTTTGCTTATCTTTTTATGTATCTCAAGGTCACGGCAAATACCGTTAGGAGAGCCATTTAAAAGATAAGTTCAGAATATAATGCTTCTACTCTGTTTGCCTCCACCACGATCTTATTAAAAGGTCCGTCTCAGGACCACAGGAGAGGTGGGACACCATTCACATATGAGCTGTCCTTGAGTAGCATGAGGGCTAGGGTAGGAGTACTTTATCCTTATCTGCCTCTTTGCAGGCAGTGTGAGAATCAGGCTTCTGAAGAAGAGTCAATGAATGCAGTCTCTGCTGGGTTTTATTTTCCATCATTGCCATCTTGTCCACCTCTCTTTTCAAATAAAGTTTGGTTCTGGCCCTTAATTGGATCTTTTGCCCATTGTTGAGGTTGCCCTATGCTTCTAGGCATCACTAGGCACCTGATTAAAGGTAACATTTGGGTGCCAGACGGTGGTGCACTGGTAGCATAATGCTGTGTGATGCTGGACCAACACTGGGAGGTTCCGGGTTCATGTCCCAGGGCTTCCCTGTACACATAAGGCACCTGCACGTGTTTAGCTGTGGTTGGGGGTATTGTGGTGTGAAGATCCTATTAGAGTTGTAAGTACACCCTTTGTCTCTCTCACTCATGGAAGGAATAAATAAATAAACTTCTTAAAAAAGTAACAACTGGAATTTTGACCTTTTCCATGAATGTCTTTTATGTATATAATGATTAGATACTTTTTATGGTAATCTTAGTTTTGAGGTAATATTTATCAGAGCACAACTACTTTTTTTTTTTTTTTGAGAATTTTACTATAGGGTGCATGTACTTGCCAGAGAGACAGAGAGAAAGAGAAAGCGAGAAATCACCCCTGGGGGATGTCCACACCATAATTCCTTTTTCTCCATTCTCTTCTTGGGATTTTGGACATGCATGCACAAACACCCTGCGTGAGTTTCAAGCTTCTGGGTCCAAGATTCGAACTGTGGTTGGCCATGTTGGACTCCAGTAATGTAACCACAATGCCATCTGGTGGTCCCAGGGTACAACTACTCTTATCACTCTATCTATTTTTCCTATATTCAGATAGAAATATTTGTTTTATTTGCCCACAGGCGTCAGACACAGCTGATCTGGGTGACAGGGCTGGACTAGAGGAAGCAAAGGAAGGAGTACTTACCTCAGGCATGTTTAAGGGGGGTGCCAAAAAACTCAATAATGAAAATAAATGACATACACACACACACACACACACACACACACACACACAGAGTTTTTTCCTTCTCCCATAAGTGAGAGAAACAGAGAAAAAGACAGCACCTTTAACAGAGTCCTGACATCCCAGCTTCAGCGGCATACACTTGTACCAGTATACATAGGGAGGTCTCTGGGAAACGAACGTGGAACCTTCTTATGTGGGTCAGCCTTGCAGAGTGCCATGTTTTACCATTCTACCACTGTGCATCCCCCAGGGTTTCAGTGCAGTATTGTTTGAAAATTTAAATACATGATGAAAAAATACCAAGAGTTTGAATGTTCTGTTATGCAACATCTGTGCCAACTGTTACTAACATATGCTTAAGGTGGTTTGTCTGCTAAAGACAGTTTCGGTTTGCCGTGCTGCTGCAGTAAGATTTGCTTTCATTGCAGGTCTGAATTTTCTTCAGCATGTAAGAACTAGTCCTGAAGGCTATGCCCACTTCACCCTTTCTGGAGATTATTATAACCGTGCTCTGTCAGGTCAGTAGAAAGCATGTATTATCATGGGATTTTAAAAATAAATTCAAATGTTTTGCCTGGATCTGTTGCTACATACATTTTACATGAGGGAAAGGGCAGGAGCAGAGCGGGACAGGGAGAGATTAAAGGCAAGCGACTGCATAACCACAGAAGAAATAGATTTTCTATTTTTCTAAAAATGTATCTGATATACTGTAATTAAATTATTTAAAAAGAAGTTTTCATAGTTAATTCTTTTTGATCCTGGAGTTTGGCTCTCTCCAGAATATGGCATTGCTCAATGGTAAAGGATCATTTCTTTGGCCCTGATAGCTAAATTTCAAGGGAGTGGACCAACACTGGGAGGTTCCGGGTTCATGTCCCAGGGCTTCCCTGTACACATAAGGCACCTGCACGTGTTTAGCTGTGGTTGGGGGTATTGTGGTGTGAAGATCCTATTAGAGTTGTAAGTACACCCTTTGTCTCTCTCACTCATGGAAGGAATAAATAAATAAACTTCTTAAAAAAGTAACAACTGGAATTTTGACCTTTTCCATGAATGTCTTTTATGTATATAATGATTAGATACTTTTTATGGTAATCTTAGTTTTGAGGTAATATTTATCAGAGCACAACTACTTTTTTTTTTTTTTTGAGAATTTTACTATAGGGTGCATGTACTTGCCAGAGAGACAGAGAGAAAGAGAAAGCGAGAAATCACCCCTGGGGGATGTCCACACCATAATTCCTTTTTCTCCATTCTCTTCTTGGGATTTTGGACATGCATGCACAAACACCCTGCGTGAGTTTCAAGCTTCTGGGTCCAAGATTCGAACTGTGGTTGGCCATGTTGGACTCCAGTAATGTAACCACAATGCCATCTGGTGGTCCCAGGGTACAACTACTCTTATCACTCTATCTATTTTTCCTATATTCAGATAGAAATATTTGTTTTATTTGCCCACAGGCGTCAGACACAGCTGATCTGGGTGACAGGGCTGGACTAGAGGAAGCAAAGGAAGGAGTACTTACCTCAGGCATGTTTAAGGGGGGTGCCAAAAAACTCAATAATGAAAATAAATGACATACACACACACACACACACACACACACACACACACAGAGTTTTTTCCTTCTCCCATAAGTGAGAGAAACAGAGAAAAAGACAGCACCTTTAACAGAGTCCTGACATCCCAGCTTCAGCGGCATACACTTGTACCAGTATACATAGGGAGGTCTCTGGGAAACGAACGTGGAACCTTCTTATGTGGGTCAGCCTTGCAGAGTGCCATGTTTTACCATTCTACCACTGTGCATCCCCCAGGGTTTCAGTGCAGTATTGTTTGAAAATTTAAATACATGATGAAAAAATACCAAGAGTTTGAATGTTCTGCTATGCAACATCTGTGCTAACTGTTACTAACATATGCTTAAGGTGGTTTGTCTGCTAAAGACAGTTTCGGTTTGCCGTGCTGCTGCAGTAAGATTTGCTTTCATTGCAGGTCTGAATTTTCTTCAGCATGTAAGAACTAGTCCTGAAGGCTATGCCCACTTCACCCTTTCTGGAGATTATTATAACCGTGCTCTGTCAGGTCAGTAGAAAGCATGTATTATCATGGGATTTTAAAAATAAATTCAAATGTTTTGCCTGGATCTGTTGCTACATACATTTTACATGAGGGAAAGGGCAGGAGCAGAGCGGGACAGGGAGAGATTAAAGGCAAGCGACTGCATAACCACAGAAGAAATAGATTTTCTATTTTTCTAAAAATGTATCTGATATACTGTAATTAAATTATTTAAAAAGAAGTTTTCATAGTTAATTCTTTTTGATCCTGGAGTTTGGCTCTCTCCAGAATATGGCATTGCTCAATGGTAAAGGATCATTTCTTTGGCCCTGATAGCTAAATTTCAAGGGAGATTTATGTCCATAGGCATTTCAAGCTTCAAGTCTCCTCCCTCCCCACAGAACTTGTTTGTTTCATTAGAAATATACTGAGTCAGGGATAATATATTTATACTGCCATACCTACTCCCTAAAGCAAAGCAGAGTTGATCAGAGCAAGCTGTTTTTTAGGAGACATAATTCCTGAGTAATAATGCGAGCATTTTCAGGTTTGTTTTTCCACTTTGGAAAGACCAAGGTAAGGGCCGATGCAGATAGAAATTTAGAAGCCATCCTATATTAGCACCAAGTGATTTGTGCCATAACTTACTTACCTTAAGAGAGTTTAAAGAAGTTCCCTTCAGAATTCCTAGTAGTATGGGCAGAATGGAAATGGTATGGACAGAATAAGAAGCGAAGAAGTGCTGTGTAGTACAGACCTGATGCCTGTGAGTGGTTGTATGATTTGATTTCAGTGAAAAATTAAACTTCAGTTTGTTGTACCATTGGTGATTGTTCTAGAGTACATATCACATCACATTTTATTTTAGAATATGTGTTAATGTTTTCCCTCTGCTCTGGATTCACTTAAAGGTAACTCTCTTACTTCTTCATTGTTTAAGATGGTTAAAACTAGAGTAATGGCCCAACTCTTCCTAGCTGAAAGAAATTCTTGCAGGGCATATGGTAGCTATTTTTCTGAAAATCAGTTATTTTCCCTGACTAAATATTGCTTACTTTTCAAGTTACTTGAAGACATTCAGGTTGCTAAGTGCCAGATGGTGTAAAGAAACTAAAGTACCTACTGTATATTATGTACTGGATTGTATTAGATTTGTATTTGTAAATCCCCTGCTTTATAGCTGGTTGCATGAATATTTTCAAATCTGTTTTAAAAAAAAAAAAGAGGAGTCTTTTAATTCACAGTGAGAGATAATTTTTCACACCTAACAGATTGGCATGTTGTGTGACACTACTGAGTATTGGGGCAGATATAAGCCAAATTCCCTGAGACTGGAATTGTAAATTGGGCAGGCCCTGTAGTGTGCTGCTTAAGTGCCGTGCACTGGGAGCTGGGTCCTACATGGCTAACCGCTGTTTGATTCTTGGTCCCAGCAGAGCGAACAACCTGCCAGCCATGTGTGCGAGTGTGCTCAAATCCTGGCAGGTTGAAGAAATGGAGAAAAAGGATTGCTGTGTGACCATACCCCGTTGGGAACGTGCTTTCTCATTTTCTCCCTTTCTTTCATTCTTTTTCTGGCAGGTGCACATGCTCTGTGGCAATTAAAAAAAAAAAAAAAAGACGTAAATTGGTGCAACCTCTTAGGGAAAGGATTTGTCATGACCTAGTAAGTTGGGTATAGGCTTGACAGCTCAGCAACACACTGCTTTTAGGTCTATATCCTGGTATGTGTATAAGGGTGCTTTTAGTAGTGGTCTTCCTAATAGCCATTAGAATGGAGTCAAGTGAATGTCTTTCAAAAGTAGATTGGATAAGTAGCCAGTTACTCTTCAGTGGTGCAGACAAATGTGCCACAGCTACCCACATCAGGATAAGGCAGCAGTGTGCTCAAAGATGTCATTGGGCAAAAATAGAAACTCGAACACATCCAGGGATTTCACTTATGTGAAGATCACAATAGGACAAAGTAATCAATCCATTCTTGAGAAACCCATACATGTGTGATGAAATCCTATAGGAGAATAAGGAAATGTTAACTTAGAATGCTAGCTGATGATTACCTAGAGTGGGTAGGAGATGGTTGGCTGGAAGAAGGGGAATGAGATGAGGGAGTGGCACTCAGGGCTTCACAGGAATTTCTGATTTTCTATTTCTTAAGTTGAACTGTAAGAAATTTTATTTCTTGCATACATATAAGTTGAAATGTATATTATGCTATATATTTTTATATACATGCTACAATTTAAGATACATTTAGAAAAGTTAAGTTAATGAGCCTCCAAATATACCAGTTTATTCAACCAGTGGATTGTTCATATAACTAAGAGAATCAGATTTAGCAGTTATTTTAGCCACTGTAGTTTTTCTTACCTGAGCCTAAGACTCCTTTCTCCTTCATGAATGCTTCATGACCAGCTCCTGCCTGTTCTGTAGTGGAAGACAACGTGTGAACTTCTTGCCTCCTTCCTGCCACCCCAGAAGGCCATGGTGGAGTACCTATATGCTCTTCCACTGTGTCCTTGGTTGGTGACACATAGCAAGAAATGGTACCTTCATTGTGAAACTGAATTGAAAGTAGAAAGCTATTAAACTGTAGGCTGTCCTTGCTGAGCATTTATGAACATTGCACCCCTGTAAACTCTTAATATCTGCTGACCAGATGTCTTATTTCCTGTGTTCTTTTAGGCTGGGAGCCATTTATTGAGCCATGGCCATGTTCTGTATCCTGGCAACAACAGGCAGCTAGTCGTCTTCATCCTCCCCGACTGAAGCTGGAAGCCAAGGCCAAACCCCGTTTGGATATCAACATCACTTCTGTACTGATCGGTGAGTAGGAAGTTGCTTTAGTAGATTGGTACCTGTGTGTACGTTCAGTTCCTTGTTTGGAACACTATTCATTCCCGTGCAGCAAGTACTTGGACCCATGCCAACTGTCAGTTATCCATCGTGGCTGCTTTTCTGATAAAACCTATGTTGACCTCATGATCCCTCACCGTCCAGGGAGGTCTATGGATATGAACTGGAACTTTCCCACATGATTCACCCTTTCAGAGTGTCACATTTTACCACTGCTATGGTGGCCCCTTATAATTACTGTTTTTAATGTTTGCCAGTAGATGCATACACTCCCAAAGAGGGAAAGTAAGAAAGTGCCCCCATGGGGAAAGGTCATGCCACAATCCCTTCTTCTTCATTTCTCTTTCCTTTTGGGATTTTAGGCAAGCACTCACACGTGGGATTCAAACCACACATTTGCCATGTGGGATCCAGCTGCCTTAACCAACACACCATGGGCTGGCCCTGAAACTACTGTTTTAAACGATCATATTTCATTCATTAATTTGCCTTGATATTAGTATCACCTATGTAATAGTAGACTGACCTAATAGTCCTCCTAAACTAAATAATTTTGGCTCCTATGTTGTTTGTCACATACTCTGTTAATCTGGAAGGTTAGGTGAAGTTTGTGATAGTCCTCTGAAAACCCATAGTAAGCAAGATCTTACCTCAGAGTGGTTCTTCTTGTTGTTTTTAATTCTTGAGAGTATGTATGGTCATGCATGAGAGCGGGCATGAGAGGCACCTTCAACAGGGCTCAGACACATCATGGTCTCTTTCCTTTAACCTACCATGAGCCAAGGCACATGTACTTGTATTCAGTGTGTTTTCAGGCTAACCAGGCCAGGGACTTGAACTTGGTCAGTGTGTGATTTGTAGCTCTGCAGTCCACCACACTATTGACTATGCCACAGAGGCTGGGCCACTTGGTATTTCTGAAGAACATCTTCCTAGTTAAAGATATCTTCCAGAAGGCTTTTTTTTTTATCAGTAGTGAAACTTTTATCATCCAGTCTTTATTTCTGATAGTGTTTTAAAACCCAGAAACATTGCTAAGACCACTTAGTGTTTAAATGAATCCAATTTCTATTGCCAAGTATTGGTATCAAAAATCAGAAAACAGGGAACCAGCAGTTAGCATAATGGCTATGTCGCTGGACTCCCACGTAGTCGACCGCGGTTTGTGTCCTGGACCCGGTGGCTTAAAACTCACGCTGGGCACGTGTGCGTGCATGCCCAAGATCCCGAGAGGAGAATGGAGGAGAAGGGATTGCGGTGTGACCATCCCCCCTGGGGGGTGATTTCTCGCTTTCTGTCTCTATGTCTCTCTCTGTCTGTCTGGCGAGCGCACGCGCCCTACAGTGAAAATCTCTCCCAAAAAAAAAAAAAAATCAGAAAACAGTAATCTTATTCCACAAAGTATAATATTTTGTTAGTAAAAAAGATATTCATGTAATAGTAATACATCATAATTATTTTGTTAACTTACTATATCCCCATTATACTTCTCAAAAACATCAAGTATTGGTGCCAGCAGGTGGCATGTGGTTAAGGTGCTAGACTCCCACATGGGTGAATATGGTTCAAGTCCCAGACCTGGTGGCTTGCTTTCTCACTTTTCCTCTTTCTTTCTCTCTGTCTCTATCTCTCTCTAGTGAGTGTACATGCCTTATAGCAAATTCTAAAAACTGATGATAATAAATAAATTCTTTTTTTTTAAAGGTCAACTATTCATAGAAAATTGTCTATGTCCTAACTGATCACAACTTCCAAAGTCTTCTCCCTTGGCATAATATACCATGCTCTTTACAAACTAAGTCCTTCCCTACCCCAATCTGCTGTGCTAAAGTCACACCAGATTATTCAGTGTTCCCTAAATGTACCATATATTTTCATGTCTTGGAATCTTTGCATTTGTTTTTCTCTCTGCAAAAAGTATTACTGTATCCCTGATCCCTTTGGTAAGCCCCAGATTACTCTTTTCTTCCAGACCCTGAAAAATGGTCTCTATTTCTCTGAAGATTTCTCTAACTTTGGTGCATATTTCCCTACTTCTAAAGCAGATTAAATCTCTTCTACATCTGTGCTCCCATTGAATATATATATTTTTTAATTTGCCAAAGGGCACATGCATTCACAGGAGAGAGACGGAGAAAGAGAGGGTGGAAAATGAGAAAGCAGTCCTCCGTGAGGCATGGCCACACTACAGTCTTCCCCATTTCTCCCTCTTTTAGGAGTCTGGGCATGTGTGCACCTGTGCCCAGCATGTTTTTAATTAGCCAGGTCTAGGACTTGAACTGTGCAATCATGTGGACCTAATCACCTTAACCACATACCTGAGTTTTATTTATGTCTTTGTTTTAACACCTTTCACATTGTGATAAAGTTCTGTGGTGATGCTATTTTGTTCACATTCATCTCTTCTAATGGAGTGAGGTTTTCCAGGGTACAGACATTCTCAGAATCTAGTCTAAGCCTGTATGTAGTGAGGCACTTGATAAAAGTTCATTTTATTGAATCGAAATTATTTAACATGAGCCCTCAATCTTTCCAATTCCTCTTCTTAATATCTTTGGGGAATTCTTTCTAGACCAATATGTAAGTACCAAAGAATCGTGGATGGCAGATTATTGTAAAGAGGACAAGGAAATAGAATCTACCAAATCAGAAGACTGGATGGGCTCTTCGGTGGATCCTCCATGCTTTGGACAAAGTAAGATTTTTCTCTCCAAATGCCTACCTTTATCACTGTTGGCCTACAGAGCAGTTATTCACTGACAAATTTTAAAAGAACCATCACTCTTTGTGGAAAAACCTATAGGAGATTCTGACTGTCTTCTATAGGTCTGTTTTAGTCTTTGCAGGAGACAGTTTCCTGGCACAAACTGCTAAAGTTTTCTCATGGGCTCTAACTCTCCTTTTGTAGGGGAGAGGACCTGCAGCATGTAATTTCTAGATTCTGGTCCCACCGCATGTGAGCTGGTGCACCGAGAATGCTGCAGGACCAGCTCTTGGTTGGTTTCAACTGGATTTCTTGACTGTATTTTAAAAAATATCTTTTTAGTCTTTAAATCTAGAGATACAAGATCTGGATATATTCTTTAAAAGAGGAAGGGCAGAATCCCATGTGGAAAATGTTAAAAGGCAAGGTATTGTTTATGATGTATAAGAGAATCGAATACCCAGCCGCTTAGAGAGTAATCAGTTTGTGCTCTGTGGACAATGTTCTTGTTCCTTACTTAATGCCTTCCCATGAGCTGTTTTCCCCAGAGTAGGGAGGTGGTGAAGGATAACTGTAGGGGCTTAGTTGTTCCACAAGCCATCGTCATCCAGATTCAATTCAGCCCCAGCCCTTTCAATGTGTTTCTCCAGGAAGCCTTGGCTGAACTTCACATAGCTCATGAATGCATAAATATTTCATCTGGTCTGCAAACGTGCTATGGGAAGATGGGTTTTCTAAAGCCATAAGGTTTTTCTGCTGGACTTTCTTTGTGCCTTGTATTTCTAGAAAGAGAGACAAAGGAATGTCAGCTGTTCGTGCTCTCTGTGTTCCCAGGGCTGTTGCTTCTGATTCTCAAGGTCATTGCTTAGAAGCCAGGGCTTTTCAGACAGTGTTTGTTCTGGTTCTGGCTCCTCCTCTAACCTTCCCAATTTATATGGCAAGAAAATGTAACACAGTCTACCCAGAAGACTCTAAATAGTCTTTGTAATATGTAATATGTAATATGTTCAGTGTGTTTCTGAAAATGTTATTCATGTAGGGGGCTCTTAACTTCAGAGTCAGCGCAAATGCTAGGAAGGCTAAATCTTCAGGATTCTGATGAAAGATTTTCTTGTCCATCTGTTCCCGTTTTTCTCCTTCCCTTCATCCCTCTTTCCTTGCCTTCCTTCCCTTCTCCCTCTCTTACTTCTTGCTTGCTTTATTCATTTTTGCCTTCTTTCTTTCTCTGTAGTTAATAAGCTGCCTCATTCATGTTAAATAACTAGGGCTAAATTAAAGCTCGACTTTTGCTTATACATTTATATGGTTACTTAGGCTTATATAGGTATAATATATTTTTAAAATCACTTCTAACTGAATATACCTACATTTCCAAACCTCTTTCCTTATTGGAAATTCCTGGATACCAATATAGCAAATTCCAGGATTGTATTCTTTTAATAAGCCCAATAAAATATTGTTGGGCATTTGTTTTGAAAGTCAGTAGGTTTCAACGTTGTCGAACTGATCGCAGCAAACTTATTCAGAATAAGTATTATTTAGAATACTCATATTCCCCCAAAAGTTGTGCTTTTTTTTCAGGCCAGCCTTAAAATGAACCCTTGGAATAGCCCTTAATAGAAAATTCAAACTAATGGAACTGCTGTCTTCTCACTTTCTTTAGCAGAGGAAAGAAAATATTGGCCTCATTTTGACATAATTGTTGACTTTGTTCAGTAAGGGCTGAGATTCTGCAGGTAAACCTGGATGGTGTGCCACTTCATTGAGTTTGTTATTTTATAGCCCAAGGATGTTTCATGAAAATATCAAATATAAATATTCTGAAAACTTCATGTTTAATTGAGAATTTCCACAATGCTCTGAGATGCCTCTTTAGTTGAGATTGTTGTAATTTGGAACATAGACTGACTCTTCCCCTGACTTTTTGAGACACCCTGCGACATGCATTCTACTGTTACTTGTTTTTCAGTTGGAATGGAGCACCCTCACTGAAATCTGTGCTGATTGGTTCTTGTAACTTTTCTTTGTCATGTAAGAAAATGACATGCTTCACATTAGAAATCCTCAAAGGCTTTTCTTTTAGTTCAAGAGAATGTTCAATACGTTTTCTCTTCCCCTAGTCCAGAGTTGGGGAGGTGGGGAGCTACTTTGACAGAGGCCCCACAGTAAGAGCTACCATAAAAAGTGGTGTGTTCTCTTTGTCAAGTGTATTCTTAGCTCTCAGTAATCACAGACGAGAATGACCCTGTAATTGCATGATGCTTGCTATTATTGTAATGTTCTCTGTTTTTGCTTATTGTTTGGAGGCAAGTCCTCTTATTTACTGTATTTATTCTTGCCCTCTAACTGTGTCTTTCCTGTCTACCAGGCCTCCCCCTTGTCTACCTTAGAACTAGGAGTACAGCCAGTCTGACTAACCTAGAGCACCAGATCTATGCTAGAGGTACAGTATAGCCAAGCAAGGGCTTGCTTTATTTTCCTATTTTAAGAACTGCCTTGTACATCAATTTTTTGTGAGTGGGAGTTGAATGAGGGCATACCTATTTGTAAGTACTTTGTTCTAGTAACAGGAAGAACATTTCCAGCTAATGAGCAGAGTGACACTTTATACCAGAAGTAATCAGATGTGATGATTCTTACTTGCCTCTCTTCCATCTCCCTTAACCTCTGGTGGAAATGGGATAAGTTCCGTAGTGTACGATGCAGAAATACCCGTTGTTACTTAGAGGCAAGTGGATGGGAGAACACCATCTTCCATCCAGCAGTGCTATGAGTCTTCCTTTCTAGAATACTCAGCAAATATTTATTCTTTTTGTTTTTGAGAGAGAGATTTTTGCTACAGGGTGAATGTGCTTGCTGGAGATACAGAGAGAAAGTGAGAAATCAACCCCACAGAGGGGTGGCCATGCTGCGATCCCTTCTTCACTCTTCTCTTGGGATTTTGGGCACACATGCACACATGCCCAGCATGAGTTTCAAGCTGCTGGGTCTGGAACTCAAACCGCAATCGACCGTGAGGGAGTCCAGCTCCTCCAATATTGTGTCACCTGCTGGTCCTGAACGCTTATTATGGGCATACATAGGGCTGTATGCAACAGGAGCTGTAATGATCAGAAATTGAGTTAAGAAATCATTTTCCAGTAAGGAATTGCTTACACACAAGCCTTAATCTCTTTAGATAGGAATTTATATGGTTAGGAGATAGAAAATAATTTATAAAAAATTTTTATCTCTGACCCTTTAAGCATCTTTCGGAATTTGGTAAGTGAATGTGGTAGGAAATACCAGAAATATTGAGGAACTAGAGTCCCAAGATGTTCATTTCTTTCTTTGGTTTAAGAAGTACAGTTAATCTGAATGATTTATGTTTGTACTTGGCTAATTCCAGATAAGAGGCCAGGATACATCTTTTATTTAAAAGGCCAGTCGACCTTCCTCTACTAGGAGTACAGATCAGGGATGATACACGAGGGCATTACTGTTTTCTTTTTTCCTGGAAGGTCTTACTGGAATAGCTGAATCTTTATTTATTCATGGATTTATGCTTCTCTTTTTTTAAAATTAGAAGCTATTTTATTATTTATAAAATATTTGTGTCTCTGTTTCTGTGTGATCCTCTGCCTCTGCCTCACAGCTGGGCACATGCCCCGCCTGGCTCTTTTTGTAGAGTTTCACTCTATGACCCAGACCAGCCTCAAGCTCTCCTCCTTCCTGCCTCAGCCTCATGCATTTGTTGTGATTGCAAATGCATGCCACTGTGCCTGGCCTTTAGGATGGGCTGGGAATTGAACCTGGGCTTCCTGTGTCATTTCAACTATGGAGTGGAGGGTGCTTGACAGCATATGCTATCCTAGCTGGGCCCATGGATTTATACTTTTGCACTTCTTTATACATCAGTCTTTCAGGCTAAGGCAAGCATTACTCTTATCTAGTTAATGAGGACTGTAAGACCCTAGAAGAACTACATAATTTGCCTTTGTTCACATGGCTATCTAGTAGCACACAGGGGACTTTAATTACTTCTTACAATTATATGCCAGTTCCTTTCTGATGAACTAAGCTGTTCATACAGCATGGAAATCTATGCTGCTTATAATGGCCAAGGTATCCATGAAACAAATTCAGAATGAAACAAATTTCCTTAACTGTGCATTTGAAGTTGAACTTGGGTCTGAGGGGCTTTAGGTTCTCCCCTTCTGTGAAGAAATCTGGTTTGGTCACTAGAGGCAGATTTTCCAAGGCCACCAGGGAATACTGTTCTCTTTGATGGACTTGGGAGATTTTTGCCTCTGGTGCTGTGCCAAACGTAAGCGCATGGTTTATTTGGACACTAGCGTAGATGTCAGAGTTGTTCTCCAATGTTGGGTTTGGATCTGCTTGCATTCCATGCATTTTTATTTTCAGAGAAGTGGGTTACTGAAGTGTGTGCCTTTATGTCTAGTCAACACAAGAAGCTTGGGGACCTAAGCAGTGTGCCTACTGATGCTATTTAATTCCAAAGCTCTATACTTGTGAATATCTTTGTACAAATTTCTAGTACTTTATTCTGTATTACAAAGTGATCAAAGCCATTTCCCACCTGTTCTTTTTAAATCTAATTTGCAAATGGAAACTTAGAGTCTGGCTCACAGTGGGATATGAAAGCACATCTGGCTTCTTTTCCTCTTGGGTCCTTTATCTGCTGTAATAAAAGCAGCTCTCATTGCACTCCTGGAGAGGGAGGGGTCTTTCAAAGTGCCACAGTAAATGCTGTTTACCCTGCAGACAGCTCTTAAAGTTTTCACTCCCCCTCTGCTCTTGTCAGCAGCCTCACAGCTACTCCTTAATTTTCTACTTGATGAGCACTTATGAAAAAAAGCAGACCTTGGGAACTAACTATGTGAGGCTGTTGGAGTGAGAAATGGGCATATTCCTAGATAGAAAAAATTTTTTCATTTATATATTTTTTAAGAGAGATTTTGCGGGAACCAGCAGTTAGCGTAATGGCTGTGTCGCTGGACTCCCACGTAGTCAACCGTGGTTCACATCCCAGACCCAGTGGCTTAAAACTCATGCCAGGCGCATGTGCGTGCGTGCCCAGGATCCTGAGAGGAGAACGGAGGAGAAGGGATTGCGGCGTGACCATCCCCCCTGGGGGGTGATTTCTCGCTTTCTGTCTCTATGTCTCTCTGTCTTTCTGGCGAGCGCACGCGCCCTATAGCAAAAACCTCTCAAAAAAAAAAAAAAAAAAGAGAGAGAGAGATTTTGCTATAGGGTGCATGTACTCACCAGAGAGACAGAGTCAGACAACAAGGAATCGTGCCCCCTTCAGGGGGGATGGCTGCACCACAGTTTCTTCTTCATTCTCTCAGGATCTTGGGCATGTACACACACGTGCCTGGCGTGAGTTTTAAGTGTCATGGTCTGTGACTTGAACTGCAGTTTACTACGTGGGAATCCCATGATGTAACCATTACGCCATTTGCTTGTCCCAGAAATTATTGTTATAATATTTGGGGTATCTCTAAACGACTGACCCTCCATCCCCCCCCCCAACAGAGAGGTGGGAATACACTGGAAACTGTTCATTTATTTATTTAGCAGACTTCTGTATCTCCGACTCCTCTGAGCCACTGTCATCAAACGGAATTTGCCTTAATCTGAAATGACTTGTTTTGCAGTGTTTGTGGTACTAACTTCTGAAGAGATACAAAAGAACAAAAGAAAGTGCTTTTGAAAAGGCAGTAATAATGATCTACTGTTAGGCTTCTGCCCCATGCCTTCTTCAGGAGGTCATCAGAAAGCAGGACATGTTGCAGTTTACCTTCTCAAGGTCGTTGGCAGGAAATGTTGTTCTATAGGGTGAATACCGTTTGTTGTAGTGCTACAGAGGCGTCTGCAGTCCCCTCTCCTGTCCCACCTGCAGACCACTGGGGTCACGGCCTTTCTCAGGCTGCTTTAAAGCTGGACATATAACCGAAGGCCAGGCCGTGCCCTTTTTCACTGGTTGTTAAATGTGTTGTGAGCATGTCAGGCACACTGGCTTGCTGCTGCCTTTGCCTTTCCTGCTACCACCTGTGTGGTCAGTGGAGGAGACACAGGCCCTTGGTCAGAGGAACTGATACTCCCTCCCGCCCCCACACTCCGTCCCAACCAAACCACAGGGCATGGGTAGCAGCGCCTCCACTGGGCTCCTGAGCACCCCGGGCACCAGGGCACCTGCCTCGGCTTTCTTACAGTATTTCCAGTTGGGTCCTCCCTCTCTAGGATTAAGCTAGTTACAGTTGTATATTGATAATCATTTATTTCCAGTTTGCCTAAGTGCAAGCGCTTTCATGAAACAAAACCGTATTTTATGCTCCTTTTGTATCCTCCATAGTATCCACCTTAGTAGGTGATGGTACTATCTATGTTTACAAAACTGGCAAAAGTTGGCTTTTAAAATGCTTTGGAATAGAATATCTCTGATTTTCTAGGTAGGGGGGGAAAGAAACTGTATGAGAGACTAGGAAAGAATTTTTTTTTTTTTTTTTACTATAATTTGACAGAAGAGTAGGTTTTATATAGAGAGAGGCTTCATTAAAGTAAAGGCTTTTTTCGGATGAAGTTTAAGTAAGGACTCATGTATATACATTTGTTATATCTGCTATAATTTGGGTTACCAAATCTAGAATATACTTATTGGGAACTGTGGGGGGATCTGTTTCTATTTCTCGATTCTAGGCAAGCTATGTTCTGATGCCTTATTCTGAGAGGTGAGACCTTTAAGAGTCGTGGGGCCTGGGAGTAGTCAGTCGGGGTCCTGATCGTCTGTGGCAGCCAGCTAATCCATGGAGCTTCCAGGTCTGCTCCATGCTCATTCCTTTTGTCTTTCTTCCACCGTCAGCCCCTTCGCATAAAAGACGACTCTGGGCGCTGTCTCCAGGCGTGGGGAGGGGCTCTGCCACACAGACAGAGGCGTCTGCTAACAGACCTTTTCCGTTCGTTATAGCAGAGGTGAAAACCCCCAAGCGCCGGCAGCCGTTTGTCCCCTTTGCTCTGAGGAATCATACAGGGTGCACTTTGTGGTTTGCCACCCTGACCACCACGCCCACCAGGTAAGGAACACTCAGTCTGTCATTTTGAGCCATCTCTGCCACCTCAGCCTCCTCATGCCAGCCCAGCAGAGGAAGGAATACCCTTTCTCGAGGCTCTTGGGATTATATTTGAGTCAGCAGTTTGTGGTCTTGCTGAGATTTATGATGAAGCTTCTGGTTCTAGGTAGACTCTGTAGTCAAGAAAGGTGGGTCCTGAGTTTGTAATAATACAGTTAGAGTCCTGATCTCGATATATATTATGTTTAAAGCAAAAGTCAAGGAAATTAAGAATGTAAGGAGGAAGTATGAAAGAAAAGTCATTTCATCGTTTCTCACTCCTCAATCCCCCCCCCTTTTTT